TTACCTCCCCGTCAGAATCACTTATGCTGCAGGGCATATTAATTCTGCGCTTGCACAGTGGCACAGAATTCTCCCAGGAGTATAACTAGGCAAGAGTTCTTATATAAGTCATGTTATCAAAGAGCCATATCTAGTGGGCAACAGTGAAGCTTAATCAAGTGATATCCAAAAGAAAATGTAAACGTTTTCATAACACATCATCGATCCCTTTTCTCTCTCTCAGCTGCTCGGTGCTGCCCTTCCTTTGCAGCTATCCTAAACATCAGCCTGCAGGTAATTCCTGAGTATCGCATTCTGGGGTGCAATCCAAACTAGTTAGGTGTTGTCCTGACCTGCCCTGCAATCTTGGGTGCCTCACAATGCTTTGCTGCTGTAGCTCTCAACTTGGGTTGCTCACAATCAGCCCACCAGCATGCAGGTCAAACCCTGAGTTTCTATGTATAGCCACAGCCCTAATCCAGTAACTCTGACCCCAGCAGCCTGTCAGTAAGCACCAGATACACTCTGGCTTCCTGCAGCCTTAGTTACTACCTGCAGGGTGACCCTGACACACTCCCAGTCCCAATTTCTCCTCCAAAACATGTGTTCTGCACTGTCCAGCCCTTTCATGGACAGTTCAGATGTTATAGGTCCATGGCTCCTGTAGGGAGTCAATATATCACAGTTTGCTACTTTAATTGGGGTTATCAAACAAGGCAGTTTATACACAATGCTGGATTAGTTTTGATTAAATAATAAAACAAGTTTAATTACAAAGAGTACAAGCGTGAGGTATTGAAGTCAGAAATGATTATAAGAGAAATAAAGAGAAAATGCTTTTTAGTAACTAAACTTAAATTAGATGTGGTTTAAGGTAAAATCCCTTCTCATGTCAGGATCTGCCCCCAAAGTCTAAAGGGCTGGTTTCTTTGTCATCTTAGGTGAAAGAGTGAGCGAGAGAGTCCATGGGGTGTTTTTGGCCCTCACTTTTATAGTCCTGTCGCCCTTTGAAATGCATCTTCCTGAGAGTTCTCTCTAAAAGTTCCTGCTAGCTGTGAGGATGGAGACAGGGAAAGAGGTGAAAGAGATTCCATGTTGTTGTTTGCTAAAATGCAGATTGATCTGCGCCTGCTCATTGGCTACCAAAAGAATGGCCATTTGACCAGTGATTGCCAATCAGCTTTGATGACACCTGGGTAGCTTGTCCTTTGTCTTTGAGAAACAGGTTTATACCCTCCTCTTCCCCCCCGACTTGTCTGGTAAACACATTTCAGTCATAATTTCAGTTTATGTTCATAACTTTACATATGTTTCACCATGATATTATTGACCAACAAGTTGTTAGATTTCAAATGATACCTCAAGGCATATTTTGTACAAAGATTATTACAATGGTACGTACGGTGCGAGTACAGAGGTGCATTCTGTCACCCTATGGCACTGTGCTCTGTGACTTGTACTTTGTGATCCTTTGTAGTCCAATTTGCCTTATAGAAATCATTTCACTCTGGTTTGGGCGGGCAGATATACAGAACTTTGATATACAGAACTCCTC